GGGGGGGGGGGGGGGGGGGGGGGGGGGGGGGGGGGGGGCGTCAAGACCAACAAACATCGTGTCCAAACACGTTGCCTTGAAAAAAGAAGGGGTCGGAAAAGTCGTGTGGAGTTGAACACTTTGACGGCAAAAAGCCTCGGGCTTGGGTGTACGCCGTGCATCATTTTTATCATAATCGTAGTTCTTGGTTGACACCACCCTATTATAGGGTGAGGGCGGATTGCACGCGACTTGCGACCACCCAGGTGCTCGCGTCACTGACGTTGCCGTGGAGCAATCACGTCGAGGACGAAGAAACTGACTCAATTCTGCGTTTGTTGCCCCCTGTGTACAAAGCCCAAAAACGGTCAAACCGGATACGATTGATGCCGGCATGAAATCCAACGTCGACATAACAAAACACAGAAAGAAGAAAAAACAAAGAAAGGTGTCCGCCCCGCGCCCTGGATTTTCGTTCCCACAGCCAACCCGCATGTCGGCCCTCAGTTCCCAACCGAACATCACACCACTGCGGACGAACACCGCATCATGGTCAGAGCAGCGGACGCGAGGCGTTCATGACGGCGAGACCGGCAACGACAAGAATCGCCACAACCACAGTAGTGGGGCCTCCGCTCACACTGACCATGGCCTTCCGAAGCATTTTATGTTTTCTGCCGCACCGAGACTGGAGGATTTCCATCGGTCAGCCGGTTCGCGTGGCAACACCAAACACATAATTGGGACTGACGCGGATTGATTGGCCAGTCGGTTAGTGCGGTCCATGCCAATAATCAACACTCACACACGCTTGAGACTGACGGCTCTTCATTGGCCAGCCGGTTAGCGCGGTCCATGCCAAAAACCAACACTCACACACACTGAGACTGACGGCTTCTCATTGGTCAGCCGGCTAGCATAGTCCTGCCAACAACAAACACAGGCACCAACACACACCTGGTACACGCTGAGGATGGACCCGTTCTGCTCGGCGAAGGCCAAGAAGCCTTCTCGCGTAACGTCCCCGCCTCCCCTCAGCTCCGCCGTCTTGTCAAAGAGCCTCCTCGCCGCTTTCTGCCGTCGTCGAACACCGTTCGAAGAACAAACATTTCCAGAACCAAGGAAGGAGGTAACGAGTACACAGAGACCGAAGACATCGACAAGGAAACGTGAGCATTCGTTGCAGAAAAGGGAGAGACAGGCGGGTGGAGGTGGTCCACCGTTGCGCCTACGGACATGTCCGACATCTTCTCTGTGTGCACCGACATGGTCATATGCCGACAGCTCATTGTTGCTTGCGAACAGCTCAATGGCGTTTACCAACAGCGTCACTGATGGTCGAGCCGGCTTGAGAGGAAGGGGCAAGGTTAGGGAGGAGCGTGCCCCTCTTGTACGTTACGACCAAAGGCCTGGTACTTGTCCCAGTCGCCTAACTTTCAGTGCACGACACGCCTCCAACGCAGCACCAACACAGTCATGGTGGGGCGACAACCGCTCGGGCGCATCGCACACAGCAAGGTTTCACTTGTCACAGTGCATCAAACAACATAGGGGTGGTTTCCGCTCAAGAAGGTGCAATGTCGGTCGGGTTGTAGGGGACGTGTTTTTGTGGGCATCACTTAACCAAACCCTCCACCAAAAAATTCTTGGCGGTGCGGCCACCGGTTTTTTTTCGCCGAAGCGACTATCGCGCTAACCTTGTGTTATTTAGTGACCCCAGACGGACAGACGTCACCGATCGTGGGCAGGCAAAGAGAGACGGAACAGCTAAAACAAGGGGCTACTCGCTGTAAGTTCTGCGGAGACAAAAAACAAAGGCAACAATCTGTCAGACGTCACACTGACCGTGGCAGGCAAAGAGAGGGGGAACAACAACCAAAACAAGGGGCTACCCACTGCAACTTCTGCCGAGACAAAAAAACGCCTACCTCTGTAAGGTCTGGTCGAAGCCGCCGGATGAAAGTCTCCAGCTCTTGCCGCGGAAGAGGTCTCGGTCGCCTCCCCTCCAACATAGAATAAATGAACTTGAACAGTCCCACCCTCCCCTCGCGCGTCAACCCCCTGTCGGCATCATAGATTGGCATACGGTTGGGGCAGGCGTCCTTTGTGAGAGGGAAGGGGGGCGTACTCATTTTTTTTCATGCCCTAGTTGTTAGGCCATTGGCCACGCGTCCTCAAGGGCTGCTTTTGGCTGATACATGGAGAGGGGGGGGGG